TAAATAAATAAATAAATAAATAAATAAATAAATAAATAAATGTTGGTACTGTAGTTCATCAACATTAGGAAGGCTGTATGTTTCCCATTCCTGCCCTATGGTATCATCTGTACCAATATTATCTTTCAAGATCAGTGGATTTATGATTTTTGCAAAGAGCTATGCATAATTGTCATGGCTTTTTTTTAAATATATATTTTCTGTACCCATAAAAATAAATTCAGATGCAATTACTAACAGCACAACGAATGTTTAGCTTGCTCAAGAAATATAGCCTCTTAACCATTTACATTCTATACAAATTTATTTATAATGTTATATTCTACTAGCTACTGTCAGCACACCATATTCAAATTATATTGCACTCTGAGTAATACCTATTTGAGAAAGAAAGGCAAGTGCGCTCAAATATCCAGATTTCCAGAACATTTTAAAATTGTATGAACTCACTGAGACAACATTAGTGTAAAAGAAATGGCACCTTATGTTTTTGGGCTCAAGATAGAAGATATTATAAAAAACATTTCTGGAACAATTTGTACCAGCTACTATGCTAGTTGATGCCAATTTTTATCAGTTTCATATTGCAATAAACACATACAGCACACACAGGCGCAAACATCTATAAAATATTTGTTGGTTAGCTCTGCATGCTGGAAATTGTGTAGCAGTCTGAAAACTGCTTAGTGATCAGATTTATAATATTATTTCCGGTTTGTTGGTTATTCTAATTAAGCAGTTCTTTTCTAGCAGTCTAGGAAAGAAAGCCAAGAGAGAGGTGGAAGGCAAGTTAAAAATTATCAAGATACCCCAAATATCCTTTAAAGAGCATTGCCTGAGATTATTTTTAGGAAGACCTGAAAGATCTCATTTCATTCTAATGCACCAGAACTAGCATAAACAAGAATTAGGTTCTACCTGCACAGATAGATTTTCTTATGGGATGTTCAAATAGTTACCAATGAAAACATAAGGTTTTCTGAGAACCTTTGTGGGTACTATTTTGGTCAGGAAGCTGAAGACACAGGTTCTCCTTATTTCATCTAATTGTTTCCCAGTCTATTCAAGACTCTTTCCTGACTGTGTTAACCAGCGGTACTAAGATTTATTCACAGAGCTCCCTAGTTTTCATAAGAATGCTATAAATAACTTATGTTCCCCTTTGGCAAAGCTTAACATAAGTCAAAAGCCTTTAGATTTCTAAGTTACACTTAGCTTAATTTTACCACCTGAACTTCAGCAATTGTGCTTAACTTCTGATTCAACTCCAACATTTAAAAATGTTTATAACTGACCATCCTGGCACCCTCCAGATATGTTAAGAGTATAACTCCCACCACACAGCAGTTAGCTATACCGGATAGAGATGATGGGAGTTATAGCCTGATAGATTTGGCAGATGGGAGGGTGGAAAAGGCAGTTGTAGACAATGGAAACTGAGCATCCTGATCACAAGTCATATTTATTTGGAAGCAAGTGTTACCAGTTTCAAAAGAACTCCCCCTCCGCTTTGTGATGACACAGACAAGGACTTGCAGGCCCTAGCCTGATCTCAGAGGCCAACTGCAAGTGCAAAACTCTGTGCAGCTGCTGTAGCTCAGCAGCCTTCTGAACATGTGAACTGTAGGCTTACATATCCAGCTCTCTTCAACTTATCATAGAAAGCTCCCCAAATCCATCTCAGCGAGTGCTGAGTAATAATGGATTTTAGTATGCAGTAAACGTATGCCATGTAGGGCCTATGGAATGGCTGCATCTGAGCTGGTTCTAGAGTCGTGGAGTCTCAGTACATACAGAGAAGCCATGCCTGGACTGGCACGGGAATCTTTAAACCTGATCCTACAAGTCACTGCATCAGTCTAGTGGTTTATATAAATCTGGCTGTTAGACAAAGTAGTCGTCTGTGGAATTAACATGACAGAAAATCAACATAAAGAAATATATATTAATAAGTTTCTGTTATATAAATAACCTTTATAAAAATAATCTTTAATTCTAATAACTCACCTCTTTTTTAGGCTCTGGAAAGCATGCATGAAAAATGTTTTGAGGCTTAGGTTAGAAAAAAATGAAATCCAAACTCCAAAACCTAAGAAAAACCACCACTCTTAAATCCACAAATTGTATCTGACATTATAAAGGCACCATCCCCTCTAATTTTTACTGAGTACAGTTCATGGGAGAAGAATACTCTTTTAGAAGCAATGAAAAAAATTGCTAAACTTTCCTTCTGTAACCCATCTGAATCCTTTTTTCACCATGTGAAAGACTGGACATGCGAAAGACTGGGTTATTATGCTGGCACAAATTCTCAATTAAATAAACCAAGATGAACAAATCTCCAAGTTTACCTTCTTACACTTAAGGCATAACACAACTACACATATAGGAAAGTTACATATTGAAATGCATGAATTATAGTGTTCAAAACACTACAAATGTTTTATTTATTTAAATAGCTTTGCATTTTTAACCTTGCTGGAAGTTCAAACGCTGTTCTTGGTTAGTGCAACTGTGATGCAACAAGTTTTTTTTTTTTTTTTTACTGCCAACAGACAACAGTGCAGTGGAACAGCCAAAAATAGGGCCATCAGTTTTTCATTATCTTGACTTTAGTTCAAGGCATGCTGTTTGATTGTGTGGAAGATCCAGTCCATTTTTGTTGTCCAGCCACCATGATGAGCATCATTCATCTGCTTCATGAAATACTCAAGTGCTTCCTGCTCAGTTTTGTCTAGTGCAAGAGTCTTGCGTATGTATGCAATGTCATCAAAAGACTGCAGTTCCGGCATCCCTGAACCAAGCATCATGGAAAAGAGGTTTATGAAGAGGTTGGCATGCTGTCGAATTGCCAGATACGCCTTGTAACACATCTCTTGGAACCTTGAAAAGAGAAAGAAAAAGCACCCCAACAAAATCCAGTCAGATTAACAACACACTTGAGTTCAGTGCAACAAAAACATTAGTATCTTTGTGTCTAAAAAGACTACGTGGCTGCAAATTTTTGTTTTGAGTATTAAGGAAAACAATCCTACAGAATAGACTCACACAACCTGGGGCCCTGCATATGTTTTAGGTCACAACTCCCCAAATTCTCAGCCATCATGTGTTTGGGCCATGTGAGCTGAAAATGGTAGGAGCTGTAGTCCAACACATCTGGAGACATATCGGCTGTCAAAATGGGAAAAATGATTGAATATTGCTGACCTTTATTGCCAGTCATAGATACATGTTTCTCTTCCAAGACATATCTTTTGAGAAATGGAGTTACTTTAAACATACTGTATGTGTCTCTGGAGATACAACACAAACGTGCTTTAAATTATTCAACTTCGTACCCTTTGACAATGTCCACAATCAGCAACCTCCTCATTCAGCATTAGGAAGTATGGTTATCATGTAAATACATACAGGAAGGCTAAAGAAAGTGCAGCTTTGTTTATATGAGGCTTACAGGAGGGGCCAAATTAATTTGCAACTTGCAGTGGTACAGACAGTCTAATAATGCGGCCAAGATGTGTCTTCTCAAGTTTTCCACCTGCAAATTGTTGTAAGCTTCATAAAGGAAGGCTTATATCACTAGAGGACTCCAAACTGTACATGCAGTGAAACATTCAAATGAAGATCCAAAGAGATCTGAGGATACACAAGATGGCAGATAACCACCAAGCATCCAACTATGATTCATAAAATGCTGATGCAGGATTGGTCCATCTCCACCACCATCATTATTTCTGTACTTTGTATGCTGTCTAGGTGGCTTATAATAGTAAAACAACATGTAAAAGATATTAAATGTAAATATCTCAGTTGTGGAGTCTTTGGTGCTCTCTGAGTTTGGTTGTTTGATTGCAGATGTTTCATTACCCAACTAGGCAACGTTATCAGTGCTAATGAGTGTGGAGTTTGCTCCCTGTTTATATGCAGTAGCTTATATAAACAGTATAAGTATAATATGCTATATAAGTATATTGTAAGTATAAGCATATATAAGCATAAGTATATATAAACAGTATAATATATAAACAGCTTATATAAACAGTATAAACCCTGTTTGTATACAATAGCTTATATAAACAGGGAGCAAACCCTGTTTATATAAGTGATATTATATACGTGACTATTTAGAGTGGGCAGGTTCTACTTGGAGAAGATGGTCCCAAAAGTATGAATGGTCTAAACCATAAATGGCTTTATAGGCAATCACCAGGATCGTCAATTACGTGCATCTCCCTCAAAATAGGTGCTATTCTGCCAAACATTCTTGTGTCAGCTGCAGCTTTTGAGTCCCCTTCAAGAGCAGCCATGTGTAAGGCAAAATACAGTAGTCTAACTGAAAGATAAGAAGGGTGTGAGTAATCATCTTCAGTATTTGGTAACAGATTTTTGCAGAACCTTCCGTGTGTTCATATAGCAGACTTGTTTGGATTCTAACCCTGTTTTTTCTATTACTACCCTATAGTCCTTTGGATTCTGTTTTTTCTATTACAGCAACAACAATGCCTCACAGGCATATGTAATTATTTGTTTTCTAGAACATGTAATTGAAAATTATGGCCCATATTGTTGATGTTACCTAATGCACAAGGTTTTATTCAAGAAAGCTCAAGGCAACCCAAATACAATTTTCTCTGTAAGACATAACTTCATATTTTTGCACTGCCCTGCAGTAGAAATTTGGTCAGACAAAACAGCATTTCTATTACAGATTGCTTACCTTTCAAATTCTCTTGTTTTGGTACATTCTTGTGCTCCTTTACTAATCACTATCAAGAAATCTTGTGTTAAGACAAATGGCACACGCTCCCGTTTGTAGCCAAACTTCTTTTTTTTGTGATCCAAAAAGTGTCCAAAATCAATGTGAAACAGCTTTGGAGAATATATTTCAGATTATTATTAATATGAAGGAAGGACAAAAGTTAATTTACAAATTTGCTCTGGTGTTTCAATCCATATGTCAGGGTACAAGACAATTCTATACACATTAGTGATCTTTAAAATGTTCTAGAGAACTCTGGGGTTTATTAGAAGCTTGTTAAGAGAACCTTAACAAACAGATCGCTATGGGGTGGGGGGAAAGGTTTCCACAAAACAATAAAGTTTCCAATGAAATGGAAAGTGTTGGGTGAATTCTAAAGAACATTCTCAGATCATATTTGTGGTGCTGAGATCCAAGGTTCTTTGCTTGTGTCCCATGTGAATATTACTCTAGCTAAATGCTTCTACAATGAACAAAAAACATAGGACAGATGTTCATAGGATCCTCATGGATGCAGAAAATATATCTTCAAGATAGAAAATATGAAAATAATATTTAAAATTATATAATAAAAATTAAAATATAATAAAATAATGTCAAGTAAAGATATAGAAAGAGAATATATTTTAAATATTTTTACCTGCCCATCATCTTTTACCATGATATTGCTGTTGTGACGATCTCCAATTCCCAATATAAAAGTAGCTACACAATAGCCAGCACATGAGCGAGTAAACAAATCAATAGCTGGATCATACCTAGGAAAAACAGTTAAAAATTCTTCATTATTTTGGACATGTCAAAAGGGTAATGTGGAACAGTTATTAATTGTTGTAACCATCTTGTAATAATCTTACAAATATTTTCTGGACTAAGGAGAAAGTTCTTTATCTTAAACATTTTCAAGATTTTCTATTAAAATATTAGTAGTGTGATTTTTAGGTTAACAAAATACAGACAATCCAAAATCATGTGTAGATCTATGAATCAACAATCTAAGGAAGATTTGCTCTGCTTATGAAAACACAACCAAGAAGATATCACACAAATCCCTTAGAGACTGACAAAAATAACACTTTGCAGTTATACTTGTCCAGCAACCTCCCAACACTTATAACCTTCAAAGGAGGCCCTGCTATCCAGTAGCTTGCAGGCTGTTGACTGCTGACAATATAACAAACCTTTTTATATCTATGCTGAAGATCATCGCAATCTATGGTAGATTCCAGTGCCAGCTGTTTTTAGGTGTTCTCCAAAACTGCAACTTTTATGTTGGCATTTCCCAGCTGCCAATACCCACCATTAATATATTGTTCATCACATAAATGCAACCAAGGTTCAGTAATGTTTACTGGAGAATTTTGCAGAAGTTACAAGGTTGTGCATGTTGTTACATCACCTTAACCACACATCTCAGCCACAATCAAGAAAATCGGGTGACAAGAGTCAATCACCCACCGGACTCTATACTTATTCAGCGAGCTTAATGTCCTTGGGGCTGTGACCACAGCATTGTTTAGCAGAGGAAAAGCCAACATCATTAGCTTCCATCAAGAAGTGATGATAAAATTTAAAAAAAGGAAGGGAGAATGAAATTCAACTCACATTTCCCCTTTGTTCTTGTCTTTAAGCCACTGGTGTAATGTGTGGCTGTTGAACTGCAGTGCACCTTTTAGGCCACCTTTGCACTGGATCTGCATGATTGTATGTGAATTTCTCACAACCTCAATAAGCCCCACACAGTCACCAATGGATAAGCAACCATAAGGCAGCATCCTAGAAAAGGAACACGACAGTTTTTGCTTTGGTTTTCCAATAAAATTGTCAAAACATTAATATATGAATATGTCCATTGAACAAAATGCACAGGTATAGAACCTCAGACAACAGCAACTAGGTTTGGCTTTTCTAGTGGAATCCTAATTAACCCCACCCAAGCCCCATTGTTGGACTACATTACTATCAAGAAGAGGTTTTAAAGAATTAAGCAACTAGTTCCAAGTGCCCACTGGCGCACTGGACAGATTTCTCCAGTTCCCTGAGCCACCTATGTCATGTTTGAAATAGAGGAGTTTCAAACACATTTTGTGGTATGGGATGAAATCTGTTCTTTTATGTGAAATATTCCACTGTGTATGTCTGAAGGGGCTTTCTGAATCTTGGCAAATGTGTACAGTGGATATCCACACAAACATTGGCGCACACTGGCACTTTCCTGAGCTGCTTGAATGAAAACAATGCAAAATTTCCCTGCGCATAGAAAGAGGCTGCAAAAAAAAATCTAAAACATCTGTAAAAGTGATAAAGCCATGATGATGGTGATGATGTAATGTAAAATTTGCTGGAAATGCTTGATCAAAACTTATTCTTTATTAGGCAGAAGCAGAAAGAGAAAGCACATTAGGAATACTTGCCTGAGATCAAGGCCTTGATTTTGCCAGATGTTCTCCATAATTCGAATTATTTGAAGTGTAAGCATATCCTGGCGTAGATCTGCATAAAAATTGTACTATGTAAGGGTGAATTTTGGAAAACTGAATATGGTTTTTAAAACTTTTCTTCTGATATAATAAAACAAGCTTACTGCATTTTTATTAAAATTATTTTCAAAAATGTTAAACCAGCTGACGGTAAAATCTAGTTTTTAATCCAGGGCTTTTGAGTTTAGGAATAACATTTATCAACTTTGTAATAGGCACTGTGGGTGACAAAAGCAGAGATGACCAAGTGCTATGTTCAGTTCACAACTTCCCTTCAGCTTCATCTACTTGGACAAAAAAGAATGTACCTACAGCAGTCACTGCATCTCCCTTTATACAACTAGACAGGTAAAATGTTTCTTTTGAGATACTGGACTAGCTATCAGGTCAGGCTAAGAGAGAACAGGGACAGGCAGCACGGCCCCTGCAATGTTGTACAAAGAATCTATTTCACCCAGTGCTTCTTCAAGAACATGGCAAAATCCCCAAATATTTAGGAGGCAGTCCAACTGTGATGGCAACATTGTTCCCTAGGCTGGAAGTTCCCCTCTCCACCTATTTCTCACCCTGTCTCCAATGCTTCTGTAAAAAAATTGCCCAAGAGGAGTGGGCTAACTCTGTCCATCTGAATGTGAGTTCTTGTCTGAAGATCTCATATAGAAACGAAGCACAAATTCCTTCTTTTAAAAAAAAATCTTGCCCAGGAAAAATCAGATGAACTCTGCTAAGATGTTATTTTTCAAAATGAAAAGAACTCTCTCATACAGAATGCAATACATATGGCTGTTTGATGGAAAAGAATACCCTCCTACTCTGTGTGAAATCTTCATTTGATACCATTATGCTCAACAAGTATGAGTCCATTTAGATTTTAGGAGGTCATGAAATACCTTCAGAAGATAGTCATAGATATACATGCTGGGATGCATAGGAACTACAACTGTGTGGATGTGCACAGGACAGAAATTCATCTGAAATAAATATTTATAGTGGGGTATAAACTCTGAACTAGAATGTTTAAGGCAGGAGGGAGAATGAAAACAACAATGCAGAAATTACAACAAAATATTTTTCTTTACCATCCCCATTTTTAAAGATGATCTCATTGTTCTGAAATAGCAGCTCAGACATAATATCTGGGTTTTCCCAATTAAGCCATAATGGCCTTTTGGCAGAAGACATAATCCTGCATTCCTCAAGCCTACAAAGGAACAGATAACTGTTTAAGCAAGTGTGTGTTCCAATGGACATAAATTATTACTTTTCTTAGATGTAGACTAACTTTTCACTTCTAATAAGCATTCTCTAATTATAATATAAACATGAAGAACTGAAAATATATCACTGTGAACTAATTTTAGCCATAAAACATATCCAGTCTAAAGCAACAGTATCACTGCTCATGGCATGAACCAAAGACTGCACTGAAGAAGCCATACTGAATTGAAGTTTATGGAAAAATTTGCTGGACAATAATTCACAGAGATGCTACTTTGAAGGAGTAGGTTCTTCTTCATTAAAATAAACAAATAAAATCATGAGATTGACCTTTGATTAATCCCATTTGATCATGGAACAAGTCAGAACTTACTAGAACTGAACAGAATAAAACAGTTATAATAAAGTATTATACATTGCTAATGCTTTGATAAATTTAATTTTATATAACTGCATTTATTGGGAGTTATAACAACACTTGCAATGTAGTACTCTGCTTTAGTGAAATAGTTTTATGGAACATAAAACACAAGTCTGATTTGATCCAGCCTCAGCTTTGATCAATTTTGCATGTATCAATGACAATATGTATCAACTGAAATTAGTTTTCCATTTACTTTATTGGTGTACTAATAAGAATTATTTTTATTTTGAATGTTCACTCCTAAATAAAGTTTTTTTGGGACTCAAAGTGAAAAATGTAATCCAATCTAGATAATCCAATAAGGCAATAAGGTTGTTTAGGTATAGTATATGTGTGCAAAATGTTCTGAGCTTGCAACAGGTTCTTCTGACTTTATTTTTCCAAGCTGGAAACATTTCAAATTTGAAATATTGTGCATACTTCTATTTCTACTAAAAAAAAGCAATTGGAATGGACAAATGTATAAGTTGGTTAGTAATAGGAAAGATGCGAGAAAGCTAATTAAAAAGCATAGGTTCAAAGAAATTAGTAAATATTGGTTTAACAATCTATCAGTATAGTTTCAGTTCTAATTGGTAGGCCCTAGGATTTAACTACAGCCTACAGCCAACGAACTCCAGTCAAGGAGTCAAAAGTGAAATCTGGGTGTGATATCAGAAACAAGGTGGCCAACCAGATCATGAGATGTCTTTCCTAAGTCACTAAGACATCTATGCTGACCCCAAAAAGGGAAACTACTTTCTGGGTGCTAAGGAGCACACTGATTACTTTTTTCTAACTGTAGGAGAAATCTTATTTTTACCATCTCTCCCAAGGTATCATTCTATTATTTGAATTTCCCTACCTGACAGAAAAAAATGTTTGGAGGAGAAAACTTTTCTTTTCTTAACTTTCCTACCTTTTCTGTCTTCTTGACACCTTCACCTGAATCTGAAAACCATCTAAGAATTTTAAGTTTTTATTGGAGTCATAGACACAATACAGGGTGTGCCGAAAGTCTTAATGCAGTGTTAAAGTTAAAGTTAAAACTGCACTAAGACTTTTGGCACATCCTGTATTTTTCTTTTCATTTAAAATGTAGAATGCTGAATTATTCTTATACTAGAAATGGAGTGAGCTAGGGTTGGAATTTAACATACTATTCCCAATTTGAACGAAATATGATTTTTCGGATTGATTCTGCTTTGGGTAATTTTTTACGATTTTATTCAAGATATTTCAATTGCTTTATTTAATTGTTTTATTACACAATTATTTATGCTCTGATTATTACAAAATGTAACAATGAATTTGTATCATGTTATCATTATTTTTCTATGGTTTCTCATGGGCTTCTTTATGCCAATAAATTTAAATTCCTTTTGGGCCATCTTAGTTCAACAGTCTAATCAGAATGAAGAGGACAAAGTGAATCCATACTTTAAGAGGTTTACTTCGATGCCATTTTCAACATCCATTGTTCATGTTCTATATATGTTCATAGCTCTAATAAACTGGGAAGGAAACAATACCTCAGGTTTCCAAGCTGATGAGCAGGATTGAGAGGAGATATGAAGCCCTGCAGAGCATCCATGAAGTCTGGCCGCCTCATTTGCTCCACAAGGAATTTCATCTGTACCTGTTTAATGACAGCTTTGAGTACTTAATGGTAGTCAATATCTTTTTCTGATTAGTTTTATTTTTAGCATGAATAGCAGCATGGCATTTGGAGCAGTTCAATGGGAAGAAGAGAAAAATACAGCAAATTCTACAAATGTTGCTTTCTAAATTCATATATATATAACATACCACAATTTTAAACCTTATTGAACTCATGCATAATTTTACCTTTTGTGTTTCATCCTTTTTCTCCTGTTTAAGGATATCTGTGAGGTTAATCAATTTTTCCATAGCTTCCACTTGCCGGCTCAGATGTTTTAGGTACATCCCACAAGCTCGGCAGTAGGACTCCAAGAGCAGACCAAACCTCTGGCTCACATTTTTATTGAGCATTTCAGACCTAATATAAAAATATTTTAGCTTGAGTAATGATGTAGACTGCTAATGATGTTTTGCAAACATATTCAATTTTAGATTATAATAATGCTTTAATTCCATAATTTAAAGAGAAACCAATATTCTGTATCAAGTTTTTTGCATTTATTTTAGAGGCAAAAAAATTACTGAAAGGTCTTATTTATCAAGTATTTTTCTGAAGGTAAAAGAAAAAATAGTGTATTTTCAACTATATAAAACAGTAAAAATTAAAAGTATTTAAAAGCTTCTTAGGCATAAGATAGTTAAGCTTAGATTCCTTGTTTTTATACTATAGTGCAGTTTAAAATAGAAATCAAACTTACTTTAGATGCCAAAAGAAGAAGTGTCCTATTCTTTGATTAGTCAGTGCCTTTTTGAGTAAAAATCTCACCAAGAGATTATCCAAGTATTGCTCATACTTCAGAACCTAGACATAATGATGAAATTGAATTGTAACTGGCATTAACCTGTACCTCTGACAAGGCTTGAACACTGTTCATGACATCAATAATCAAACAGCATAGCTATTTGTGTATAGGTAGTCTTCATTTAATGATGGTAATTGGAACCAGCTGCGACATATACAGTATAAACCAGTTGTCAAGCATCTAAATTGTGATCATGTGATCATGGGACGTTGTGACAGCTGCAATTATGAGGACCTGTCGTAAGTCCCTCTCAGTGCAGTCATAACTTTGAAAGGTCACTGAACAAGTGGTCATTCAATGAGGACTACCTGTACTATGTTTTCTGACTAATAACTCTTAAGCAGTGACAGAAAAATGACTTTTTAAAACATACACTACTGTTGTGGCAAAGCAGCAGTATAAAATCCTGAATAGAGTAATAGCTGCATGTGTTTATTTCTAAGTGAATGATAACTCATCCATTTTCACTTATGAAGACTTCCAGTCAAAGAAAATGAAAACTGACTTCTTTTAGTACTTTTTACTAGAATTATGCATTCATTTCCAAATAAACATGCAAAGACTTGACTACAAACATCAGTTTGATTTTTTCGAAGAACTATTTTTTGGGTCTTTCTTAGAGAAGAAAGGAGTGCTACTTTATTTCTTCTACTTCAAAAAGGAATTGTAAGTATTTTCAAATCAATCTTTATTGTAGTCATTAACTAGCACAGAATATTAAATTTCCTTCCTTCCTTCCTTCCTTCCTTCCTTCCTTCCTTCCTTCCTTCCTTCCTTCTCTTACCCTTTCATAACTATAGAGGCCCAGAGGACTTCATACTACCTACTTCTTAAGTATATGAAATAAAAATACATGTAATAAACAATATACAATAAAAATACACAAATAAAATGTCTAGAAACCATTGAAAGATTAAATTTAATAAAATAACAAAGCCAAATTGTAAGCCAACCAAGACAAAAGCCAAACATCCTTCAGAAGAGCTCAGTTTTGAGCTGCTTCCATTAGGTACGTAGAGTGGGAACCACTGGATGTCCATTGGGAAGCCATTGCAAAGGACTCGTGCTACCACCAAAAAGCAGCTGCCAAGCCTCAGTCCCCCTCAGCTCCCTAAAGCAAGGAACCATTAGCAGTTTTTCCTGGGATAATTCCAACGGGAGAGTGTGGTCCCATAGATACCTTGGTGCCAAGCTTTATAGGTTAGTACCAGCACTACAAATTGCACCCAGAAGTCTGTTAGTAACCAGTGAGAGGCTCATAGCACTAGTGTTATGTGCTCTTACTGGTCAACACTGATAAGCACATGGGTTACTGCACTCTGAACCAGCTGCAGCCTCCTAGTGGACTTCAAAGGCAGCCCCAGATAAGAATGCATAGTCTAAAAGATGGTGACAAGGGCATGAGTCACTGTAGCAAGGTCCTTCTGCTCCAAGTAGGGCCATAAATAGTGCACCAACTGAAGCTCGGCAAAGGCCTCCCTTGCTGTGGCCTCCACCTGCTGTTCTAAGAGAAGCTGCAAAGTTGCATATTTGTTCCTTCAGGAATAGTGCCTGAAGTAACCCTAACTGAAAAGGAGTACATGGGTAAAAGAAAGTATATGGAGTCAAGTCTTGAGCAAATCTGGGCAACGTTGCAAGATAAATGTGCTAATTCATCACAGTGCCAGATGGGAGCTCTTGATATTGGCTCTTCCCTAGCAGGGAATTGGCCACCCAAAAAACAGCTGTTGGATGATAACCTGCTGATGCGATAAAGAGGAGAACAAATAGTGCTTCGCCTCTTTTATTGCCATGGAATAGGCCTGAATATAAGCACATATTCATGCTTGGTCAGATTCAGTTCTTGCCTTCTCCACCAGGCTCCAGGTATTACTTCTACCATTTCATCTCTCAAAGGCTCTCAGTAAACCAAGGAGCCATTTGGGATCACTTGACAAAGAAGCTCAAGGGTAATTTCATGAAGGGCTCAGACTGCCTTACATTGTCAACAGCAAATCGGGCTCTCAACACATTCACCAAGTAGTTCGTCAGGAAATTCCCCAAGTGCCAGCTGGAAACCATCTGAATCCATGAGATGCCTGGGGCAGAAAATCTGAACAGGCCTAACTCTATGGAGATCTTGGGTGGCAGTCAATCACATCTGGACCAGAAAGTGATCTGACCACAGCAAATAATTGTTGATAATATGCTCCACATCCAGATCACACAGCAATATTGGGCTGCCTTTTAAGATGATCCAGAAACCATACTTGGCACAAAATGTGGTGGCTGGATTAAGAGTGGGTGACATCCTCTACAGTAATAAAATGCTGGTCTTGCAGTTGTTGCATTAGTTACCAATAGGTTTCTAGTTTCAAAGTGCTGGTTTTAACCAGTAAAGCCCTTCATGGCTTGATTCCAGAGTATTTGAGGGAGGAGAGGCTAAGGGTAGGCTCTCTCTTGTGGAATGAACTGTTCCAGATGTTTACTTCGCACTCCTTCTTTGAGGTTCTGCAAGATTATTTTATATAGACAGGCTTTTGAGTTCATTTTGTATGTTATATTCTTTTTAATGGTGATGCTGACCTGCCACCTTATTTTTGAAGTTTACTGATGTTTTGGTTTGAGAGTTTGGTTTGGTTTGGTTTCTGGGTGGGCTGATGATTTAGCATTTTATATGATGTTTTATATGATGCTTAATTGTGAACTGTAGATGCCTGTATCTTCTGTAGTAGTAATTTTTCATATGGCTGTCAGTAAAACAGTTTTTCTCAATTATACTCTTTACTTGTTCTCCTCTCAGTTGTAGTTTTGAGTCAATTTTAATATTTCATGGATGTTTTGAGAAAAGCTCTATCATACCATCCTTGGGAAATTTCATTTAAAGATGTAATTTTTGAATGCCTGTTCATATGACAGAGGCACAGTTAATTAAAACAGAACACAGTACCTGCACCAGCTGAATCAAATACTGAGAGAGTTTGTCATCTGTCAAGTATTTTTCCAAACACCGAATTGCAAAGGCTCGCACCATCGGATCTGGATAATTGCAGTCCAAAAGCTCCATTGCTTGCTCAGGCCTGATAAAAGGCCAGTCTTTTATCAAGCAGTACATCTGTGTGAGTTACAATAACAGAGTTATATCATGATTACAGTCATGAAAACAACCATCTGAGTCAGACCAAATTCTTCCCAGGTCAGTATCTTGCTTCCAATAGTGGACAAGCAGATACTTTGAGAAGGACATAAGATAATAACTGCCTTTTAGCTCCCAGTACTTGGTATCTAGTGGTACTCCATCTCTGAATATGGATGCTCTGAATATGGATGCTCCATCTATTAAGTATGCCCACTAGTCCCAGATAAGCTTATCATATTACCTCATATTACATCAAGTATAATATTATAGTATCCTATTATAATGAAACATTAAAGGTCCTGCTTAATATATAAGATTTTTTTTAGACATTTGTTCAGCAACGGATTTGTTACCTGGGCTACTTCATCCCTAGAATTCCATTTAACAGACAAAAGAAGTTTAGGTAGGATTTCTGGCATAGTTACACAGTAGTGCCTGAAAAAAACAGACAAAAAGAAGTATATTGCACACATAATTCTATGTATTACTTCTGTATGAAATGCATATGAAGTATGTAATAATATATTAAGCTAAAGGCAGTATTTTTTTTTAAAAAAAAACCTCTAGGGGTCATTTCATTACAACATTTACAGTTTGCTTGAAGAGAACATTCTTAAATGTCAGAATGCCAATGAAAAGAATACCCAGTAAGTCTTGAGTCAGGATACGGGCCCATACCCCAGAAAAGATACAATCAGTGTCACCAATATATCTCAAAAAACCTTGGTGGCTTTAAGTAAGGCAGGTTTAGATCACCTAACACATTTAGTGCTTTAGGAATAATCACCAGTGCCTTGAACTGGATCTGAACCGTATACATTTAGAAGACTTCACAACTATCTAATATTTTGTAGCTTAGACAAGTGCACAGATGGCATAAGCTACTCCTTGGTAGGTTTTCTATTCCCACCTAAAGTTCAGACTAGGGAGTTTGGGGCAGGCTACATCATGTCTAAGGCTCACAGGCATACCTATGCTCTGTAATGTCACTTATACGGAAACCCTGGTTGTCATACCTGTGGCTCCAAAGGAAGTCTTTTTCTTGTTCAGTTATTTCAGATAAGGGGTCTCTAGTACAAATTGCCCGGAGCTGCTCTTTGTCATTCTCTCTTAACTCATTATCTCTAGCTATTCTGTTACTCTGTTGAAGAAAGGAATACATAGCATGATTCATATAATGAGCACCTTGTTCAAACGCTTATTAGTTGCTACAAAAACTGCTGGGAAGGATTTATCTTCTGAACCAGCTGACGGAAAACTGTGCATGGGAATATTTCTGTCATGTATCTTAAAGTTTTGTAATGGAAAAAGTGCTTCTCTGTTCAGCAGTAAAGGGAGCACGTTAAGTTCAGAAGATTTCAAACAGGTTTTGATGCCTCCTCAAGTGGTTTAAAAATACACATTATAATCATGATTTAATAATTTTTTCTACTACTGTAACAGTTTACGAAGTACACTCTGCTTTGTGTTTTTTTCCATGATTCAATAACCTTTCATGTACTTTTTTTTTAAATTTTAATGATAATATTTAAATGAAAGCTATTCAGTGACTTAATATGGAATATGCCCAAAGGAAAGCAATAATATTAATGAGCCTGGAGACAGTCTTATGAGGGTATTTGGAGTTTTCAGTCAGGACAGAACATAAACAAACAGCAGTTTACTTCATCATCATATTTATTTCAGTCATTGACCAATAAAAATACATACAATAAAACGGACAACAA